ATAATAATCCATTTCCTTTCGTTGAGGAGGGAGGAAATCTTGCCTGAACTTATTCTTTTTCTACACCTGTTTGCTGTGGTCCATTAGAAGCAGAATCTCATTCCCGAGCGCGTTTGTTCATCCTTCTTCCATTTTGTCCGTTTATGGACTGGGGGCTGGTTGTCCCTTTCCCATCAGTTGGGAATACATTTCCCTGAGGAAACAACTGCCCGGCTTTTGAAAACGTATAAGCCCACCGGTTTATACGTTTGGCATTAAGTTATCAACGTGGATTGTGTTGTCATAGGGGATCCTGCTTTATAAAGCAGCGGTCCTGTCCCACCTTCCTGAGAATAATCCCCGTTGAACCCAACGGGATTTTCTTCTGAGTAGACATGTATGGAATGGTACTATTCATGAATTACTTGTCACAGAAGCAAGCAATCATTTTTAAGCCACGACGGAAAGTGATTCCTTGCCACAGGTCGAAAAATTCTTTAGGTAATTGATGACAATGATGCTGGTGACGGTCATGATGGTGATAATGATGGTGACGATGATATCACCAACAACAATTTAGATAGTTTGGTAAAGTATACAAGGCGGCTCAACTTGAATGACAAAATTTCCGGAGCAGCAAGACTATAAACTCGGGGTTAAGTGGAGTAGTTGGAGCCTAGTTTACACCGAATTCCCCTGTGGAGACCTGTTCTTTATCGCCGCCTCAGTGAGAGCAGAAGGAGAGAACAGATTTTGATCGTAGCCCAAGGGATTCAATTACCAATCAGTTTGATCCATTTACATTTTAGCTGGAATTAATTTGTGAACATTAACTGTGTTTGTCCAGTCTGATCCCATCCATGTTTGCTGGGGAAGAATCCCCGCTGTGTTCAGCGGGCTTGTTCTTACGGAAACGTAACTTTCCCTCCGCTATTTATATCAGCTTTTAAAAGTCATTGATGCAACCACTTTGAGTTATAAATATTTTGCTGCATTTAAACAGAGTCAAGTCCTATCGCGAAAATCAACATACATTTAAATCCACGTATTTGTTATTTGTTAAAACAGAATGTCCTGTCATGTTAAAAGTGTAATCTTTTCCCAAGAATGTGTTTTGAGATACTCAAGTAATAAAACTAATTCTAATTAATTTTACAGCAGGAAGCAGCTCTTCCTTTTCTAAAACTTAGAGCCTGGAGCAACCTCTCCCTTTTCAATCTTTATGACAATCAATACATAACAGACAGTAGAGCGGCTGTCATAGGCTAAAAGGCAGTCCTAAAATGAATGATGGGGAGTAAGTTCTCTGCGTGTTCCAATTTTAATTTTTTAAGCAAAATGTAAGCCATGATGTATTCAGTATTACTCTTGGGGGGGCGGAGTTAAATTCCATCATACCAAAAGAACTATAAAACATTCATCTCTCTCCTTTGTCCTCCCTTCTTATTTATTTATTTACTTTATTTATTTTTTGGATTTATATCCCGCCTATCTAGTCTTCTTCTTCTTCTTCTTCTTCTTCTTCTTCTTCTTCTTCTTCTTCTTCTTCTTCTTCTTCTTCTTCTTCTTCTTCTTCTTCTTCTTCTTCTTCTTCTTCTTCTTCTTCTTCTCCTTCCCCCCCCCTTCCCCCACCCCCAGAACTTTTGGCTGTTTGAAA